AGCAGAACAAAGAGAAATAGCTTCTCCAAAACAGTTTCCAAAGATGCTAAGCTTTCACATGCAGGGAAGTCATTCTATTAAAAATGCGTGTTGTGTTCAAGCACTCTGTCTTCCGTCAGCATTTAAAACTAATACAGTTTAAGCATGCTTTTTTTGTACATTTTAACTAAGCAGCATTGTGGGGTTGTGCATGATGAAGAATATGACACATCATCCCCTCTGCAATAATAGACAACCATCTAGCTTGATGATGAGTTAGGGTTTTCCATTCATACTGCAACTTTCACCAAAGAGCCCACAAATGTGTCACAGGAACGATAGGTGACCACAGCTCAATTATGTATTGTAGAAAATAGACAATGCATTGTTGTTCCATATATTTCCACCCGCCCCTCTGAACAGCTCAGAATGGTATAATGGAGGTGGGGAGAAGGGCATTCTGCTGATTTTCCATTCAGGTACATAACCATAGGCAGACCCCACTGTGCCACTTGCCATTTGAAAAGAGGCCTACTAGCCAGTATTTGAAAGATGGAAACATATCAAAGACACTAAGGAAAATGCAAGAGACAATAACATGACAGCTTCTGCTTGTAACAGCAATACAAATATCCAGATCTGTGAAACAGCATGATCCAGTATTTGTGCTTTATTTAACTCAGATGTCATTCATGCCTTTGTAGAGAAATTATATCTAGGAACCAAATCCAATGGAAACCCTACCTAGAGCAGACCCACTGAAGTGACTGGGTCTCCCCAGTCACTACTGAATTCAGCCTCATTGATTTCAAAAGGTCCTACTCAACACAGGACTAAACCATGGGTTTAGTCACAGCCAAGAGTGTGTCTAGCGGAACATTTGTTTGCCAATGCGACAAGTCAGGGGATGTTGACTTATCCCCGTTTGCAGGTTTGATGTCACCTTGCATGACCTAGATGAAGATTAGGGGCTCTGTGTTACTGCAGGAGGCAAAAATAGAATCCCTACCAGCATGTGAATAAACACTGAAAGATTAGTACCAAGGGTGCACCATGTGCAAAAAGAAGGAGATAATTAGTCAAATATTTGAAAAATGGGTCATACAGTGGTCTATGCCTCTAGTTGTCCATGGGCCTCTGTGAGGTGGCCAATTCCTCCCTGACCTCCCCATGGGCTACACTCCCCCCCCTCCCCAGCAAGCCCAAATACTTCCATCTTCCCCTGCAGTCTCTCTCAACATTGTGACATGTGGAATGTTTATGAGGGTGGAGCGCTGGAATGAATGTTCATGTATTCTCATACATTTGGGAGGAGTCTTCGTTTGGGAGCAAAAATTTCCCAACATTCACAATGATTTTAAACTGGAGAGGTTAAAGGGCTGCAAATTGGAGAGGTTAAAGGGCTGTGTGTCCCCTGGGCTGCACTTTGTCTATTCCTGCTGAATAAACAGAGCCCCCAGGAGAGCTCAGCACAAATGCTAACCCTTATTAAGGGGTATGGCTTTACAAAAAGGCAGGGAAGGGAACAGCAAAGCTCCTTTTTCTTTTTTTTTTATGGTAGCTACAAAATAAAATTAAAAACCCAAAGAACAATATCCAGTCTAGGTGAGAGGGATTTTTTCTGTTATGGCAAAACATTTCTTTTCTTTTGGTTTGAGAACTGGACTGATTCTGAAGACCAAGATTCAAATTCCTACTTGGCTATGGAACCCCACTGGGTGACCTTGGGCAAGTCACACTCTCTCAGAGGAAGGCAAAGGCAAACCCCCTCTGAAGAAACTTGCCAGGAAAACCCAGGTTTGCCTTAGGGTTGCCATAAGTTGGAATTGACTTGCAGGCACACAAGATCCATCTCAAAGTTGGGATTGGAAGCATGATGAGGTGCTTAGGGATCAATTTGCCACAAAGCTTAGAACTGGACTGGGATTTGAGGGGCTCAGATTCAAGCCACATTCAGCCATGAAACTCACTGAGTGGCTTCACCAAATGACTCCACCAAATGCATCAGAGGAAGTAGACTGAAGTCTACGAGAGCTCCTGCTGCCAATTTCTTTCTTTCAGTTAGTCCCAAAGGTGCTACAAGATCTCTCTACGTACTGAGTGACCATTCACTCTTTCTCATCTTACTTTCCACACAGGGATATTTGTAGGGAGGTCAGGGATCTATGCCACCTTGCACTCAAAGGAGGAAAGGCACAATATAAATAAGTAAGTAAAACATGTACATCAAGATTATTCCTGCAATTTTTTTTTTTACAAAGCATGTGTTCCAATGGCACAGATTCCTCTCCTCCAAAGAAAAGAAACACAGGGTGCAGATTACTCCTAAGGCAACAAAACAAACAAACAAAATCTGACTATGTCCAAAGAATTTACAATGCTGTGACAAAATATTATTTCCTCTAAGAGGAAGGTGAAAGGAAGGAGCTTCTAGCCAAAATGAAGTAGATGTTTGAATAAGGTTTGGGAAGTTTGCTTTGAAATTGGGTGCTTCTTTTCCTGTCATTTAATAAACACAAATAATAAGCTTGATGTGGCTAGGTTTTCTTCAATTTTTTCCAACTGCACATTTTTGTCTGACTGCGTACTTCATTAAAAAAAACAACACTCCATTTTTAATAACTAATATTTGGATCCCATGATCCAGCGTTTGTATCATGAGGCTGATCAATGCACTCTCAGGCCAATGGGGTAGTAGGTAGGAAAACTGGGCTGCTTTGCACATCATGCTGAGAAATACACTTTAGCGTGAACAAGCTGATGTGCCACTACATGCTGCTCAATTGCACTCATTTGGCTTCTCTAGTCACCAAGAGCAGCTGAACAAATCTGGGAGCCTCTACCCATCCTTGGCTTAAGATTCTGGTTTGCTCTGAGAGTAACAAACCAAAGATACCAGTTTGGTAAACTATAGCTGGATATTCCTTTTAGTCTTTCTTAAATCTGTCAGGAGCAATGAAGCAGGAATGATTTGAACTTCTTGTGCCAAATGGGTTTGCTCATTCACAATATGCCAGACTTTCCAGAACTTACCATACTGTTCATACTTGAACACTGTTTGCTAATCAATAAGAGGAGGAACTTTCTCTGTAATGGTGCCCATGAGCTGGACTAGCCAAGACATGTGCCAATGCTATTCCAGTATGAACATCCATCTGTTTCTAAAACTGGATCCTACAGTCTTTGCTTGTCCTCAGTCCCTTTAATATGCTGGAGAATCTTGGATATTCTTTACTATTGTCCGCTGAGTTTTTGTGTTTATATTTTTATTATGTTTATATGCGTATTCCTGTATGCTGCTTGGAAATGGTAAAATGGAGGAGAGTAGAAAAATATTGCAAACAGTCTATAAAATGGCAGCTACCTCCTGTGCAATCCAATTATTTGTCTTTGGGCCTTTGCAGACTGCTAGAAATAGTGCAAATTGAGTC